TAGTCTAACTACTTTGATCATAATTGTAATATAGGTACTTTATTGCCGGTGGGACATAATGAGGGCTCACTGACTGAGAATCACTTATCAATGTGGTTTTACAGTTTTAGTTGCAAATTGCAATGGCGGAGGCAACTAACACAGTGTTCATAGATGTATCATCCCCATCGCAGTTTGTGACGGCCAACACAACGATGACGGACACTGCGATGATGGACACAACAGAACATCATAAAGATGATGCAGAGATTGTAGAGCCAGATAAGTAAGTTGTTTACTACAAATCGCGGGTTACTCACGTGAATATACTGAGGAAAGCTCTACTTGTTTCGAGCCACAGAGAGGCTCTTCCTGTTCCTCATGAGCAACTGCGATGCCACGTAGCCTACTGCTGTTAGAGCTTTTCTCAGTATACTCATGTGAGAAACCTGTGATTTTTAGTTAATAATAATATGTCTCACAATAGTTATTATTAAAACAAAGTCCTAAGTTGTTCTTTAGGATAAGCTGGAAAAAGAGCAGACGGATCACTTGAGGGCTTAATAAGAATTTGTTTTATGTTTAAGAAGATGGAAAGGAAACTGTGTTATGCACTCTGATTGGCCGGCTCCAAAGACCCAACCAATCAAACCACTGAATGCAGTCTCGATTGTTGAAACAAACTTGAAATTAGAAGTCAGAACTTATAAGTACTAAGCCCGTAGTAATGTTGAGCAAAGCTCTTCTCACATGGAGAAGGTTTGAGCATTAATCACCACACTTGCTCAATGCGTGTTAGTGATTATAAACTTATAATTAGAAATTATAAGTCCAGGTTTCCTCACAATGTTTTCCTTCACCGTTTGTCAGTGGTGTCTAGATAATCTTAGAAAGTACATGTACTGGGTTCGTTCGTAAGTACCAATGTTACTTGCCATTGGTAGGCGTCTTCATGCATGAGAAGAGGGTGTCTTAAAGCTCCGGGCCACCACGACCTATGACCACAGAGTTGTCAATGATCAGTTGCAATAGCAAATACCTTTAATTTTTTTTTGTACAGTATATAGTGTTGAAAGTCGGTCGTCAGCTTCTTGTATTTCTCCTTGTCGGTAGCCATGCGGAACAATTGTTCGACAGATGTAATGCCGGTCCACTCCCGGATGTTTCGCAGCCACGATTTTCTTCTGCGCCCAGCACGTCTCTTCCCCTCCACTTTGCCCATCATGATCAGTTGAAGCAGTGAATATCTATCGTGTCTAATACAAGAAGCTGACGGCCGACCTTCAACATTGAAGAGGCACTATAAGAAGAAGAAGAAGAATATAGTGTACAAACCAAGGGGCGTTGGTTATCATGCGGAGTGATTTCTTTTGGGTGTCCATGGGCGGCGCTGATCGCTTACCATTAGGTGATCTGTCTGCTCGTTTGCCTCCTATTCCATCAAAAAAAAATTATATCTATATTTTAGTGGGATCTTGCGGTATAACAAAATTTTGGTGGATTTGTGATGTAGAAATTTGAGGATTTGGGATGAGGAGAGAGGATCCATTGGGCTTCCGGTAACCCCAATCACTTGGGCAAACACAACGCTTTAGTTGTTGTCGGAGTGCTGTGAGTTATCACACCGCTCGAGCCGACCCATTTGTTCTCAAGCATGGCTTTCACACCTAATAGGGTAGATGCCTAATTAAAATAGCCACAAGAGGGCTTACTCTTGAACCCAATTCCGATCGATCGACATTGGTATTGTGTTTGTACTCTTGAGTTACAACACTAGCGCCCATTGCAACCGTATTGCGTGGATATTGAATGAACTAAATGGTATTGAGTTGGCTTTATATTCCGTACTCTGAATGCTATTGTAACAGCTACGATTGTGGTTGTATAGTGTTGACATTGAATAATTATTGAGATTTTATTGGATTAAAATTGCATTGACATTGAGATTGTTTTCAAGAGTAAGCACACTGATCGGATAAATAGTGCAGGCCGCGATCCTTGTATGAACATGGTTGCTCCTGCGCAGCGCGGTGCCCCCATTAATGATCGCCATTCGTCAGTGCCGCCTCAGTCGACGTGATATTCGAGAGTTTTTCGAACAAGTGTATTAATTACTGTTTCGACTGCACGGTTGGCGCTGTGGCTGGCCAACCGGCTGCCGAGCAACGTGTCGCGGGTTCGATTCTCGCACGGAACAAAACTTTGTGCGATCCACTAATTGTTGTTTCGGGTGTGATGTTAAACTTGTATGTTTTTAAACGCACCCACGACACAGGAGAAATTCCTAGTGCAGCCAACGGCCAACAAAAACAAAAAAAAAAAAACGTACTGACTGACAGACTATTATTTATTTTGTATTTGTTGACGTTTCAAAAGTACCAAATTATGGTTTAATTCAAATAAATGCTTTGACTTTGACTTTGAATAATTATTCAATTTAATTTAATAAAATTTCTGTGTGTGAGAGCCATGCTTCGGCACGAATGGGCCGGCTCGACCGGAGTGATACCACGGCCTCACAGAAAACCGACGTGAAACAACGCTTGCGTTGTGTTTCGTCGTGTGAGTGAGGTTACCGGAGGCCAATTCCCCAATCTCACCAATCCCTGAATCCCCAACGATCCTCTCCTAATCCCCAAAAGGCCGGTAACGCACTTATAACGCCTCTGGTGTTCCAGGTGTCCATGGGCGACGCCGATTGCTTACCATCAGGTGATCCGTCTGCTCGTTTACCGGCTTATGCTATAAAAAAATGAAACAGGGGGTTGAAGTCGGTTTTTTTAAACGAAGTTTTTTAAAGAACTGTTGTGTGGTAATGTGAATACCTTGATTGATTGCGTGGGGGCTCTGCTCTTAAATCCTAATTTATCTTACAGCCAATCACTGCTGGTACCGTTATTGACAGCGCAGCCTCGTCGCATCCGTTGCCCGGAATGTGATCGTTACACAGCGGAAACGGAAGAGAAGATGTTACGTCATATCCGCAAGAAGCATAGAGGAGAGAATCCATTCCAGTGCTATATGTGTGATTACACTACTTACAATAAAGTACTGTTCGAAGAACACGTTCGGATACATCAAGGTATTCTTGTTTTTTGTTGTTATCCAAATGTTACTAATTACTCCAGCGCGGCTCATAACATTACACAACATCACGCTTTTTATCCCCGTAGGGGTAGGCAGAAGTGCACATTATGACACTGTACAATGTATCTAACACCCACTTTTCATCAGTATTTATGTTATGAGTCCCATGTAATATTATGCCACTGTACAATGTAACGGCGAGCATGGGTGGCTCCCCGTCCGACCAGAAACAGACCCGAGCGTACGGCGCCGAGCGTTCCGCGCGGCCCTCCAAGAGCCATCAGACCACCACAGATGGGGCCCAACAGGGCCGATGCCGATTCGGAGTCGCGAAGAACCTAACGGGTAACCGGGGCTCCGGCTCGACGTGCAGGAGAAAGAACGGGGTGGTTTTTAGTCAATAAGAGTCTGACACTCCCTCCCGCCTCATCCAGGCGGGAGCAGTCATCCGATGATTTTCCCCCCTTAAAAAAATACACGGCCACTCTCTGACACTCCTTCTGAAGCGTGCGGAGTAGCCATCGTAATGAAACCACATGTCATGAATGAGATTTAACGGTTTGAATGCCCGTATATGAGAAACAATAGAAAATACATCATGATTTTCCAATCCAATTAAATATTAAAAAATAATTACAATTTCATTCATATTTTTGACGCGATATACTTAATAGGCATGGCGACTATTTTTTAATTTTTTGTCCGTCTTTTAGATATTTTAAAAATCTTCAATACGTATTTTTTCTTTTTTCTCGTATCCAAAAAAACATGTAGATATTTTGAGTTAAAATGACGCGTGACGTCACACTTAGGTACGATTTCTCCGTAAGTGTGACGTCAACACCCCCCACTCCCTAACTTTAATGCGGAATAACTACGTATTCTTCTGTTAATTTGATAAAACAACTTTATTACATTACTTTTTTGATTTTTTTACCCTGTCGACACGCCTATTATCGATTTATTCTAGCAATTTGTTCAGAAATATAAATAGAAAGGATGGATGAAAGTAGAGTAACGAAAGAAGTATACAGAGCGGATATGAATGGGGCCGTCGGTAGAGGGCGCCCTAGACGGACATATAGCGACCAGATTGGCGATATATTAAAGAAGGGCCAAATTAAAAGTATCCTTAACCGACGAGCATGCATGAAAAGATTGATGACTGTTGATGAAGTGAAAGAGGTATGTAAGAATCGCAGTAATTAGTAATTAGTCCTTAGTCTCTACTCTCTGCCTACCCCCAAGGGAGACAGGCGTGAAGTTATGTATGTATGTATTGTTCAGAAATAAGTATGCTATTTGACTTGAAAGTATGATGACGTCATAAGTCAGTATTTAGTACAAAATTCATAGAACAATATCGTTTTTGACGTTTCGATAAAAGTATTGAATTTGATTCGTTGTAAATTACCGCATTGTGTATCGTCGAGCAAATTAGAAAATCTAATAATAATTTATTTATTTCTCTCATCATAATTTACAAAATAAAATACAGCAAACGTTTTACAACTAAATCTGAGACTGGTGTCTGTTGTAGGTGAACCCTGTATCACAGATAAAATAGATAGTTAGATAAAATAAATAGATAGTTCTTTGTTCGTTTGGGCGTCTCCATTTCAAGATTTTTCCCAGAATCCTAACTTTACCCTAGCATGTTATACCTTATTAGAAAGCTGGGAACTGAGGTACTGCCTCGTTGGCTGAGTGGTCGCAAGTGCGACTACCGGGCAAGAGGTCTCTGGTTCGATTCTCGGGTCGGGCAAAGTATTACTGGGTTTTTAAAAATTCTCAGTAGTAGCACGGAGTCTGGAATTGTGCCCGGTATATCGCAATAGGCTCACCCCCTATTACATGGGACTTATAACGTAGGTAAATAGTGAAAAGTAGGTGTTAGATTGTACAGTGGTATAATGTACCTCGGCCTACTCCTTCGGGGATAAAAGACATAACATAACATAACATAACATCACGCCTTTTAATAAAAGGCTAGGATAAAAGACGTGATGTTATATTAGAAAATATTTTTTGTTACAGGCATAAAGCCGTACAAATGCAGCCACTGTTCGTACAGAAGCGTCTCGAAGAAGAATACAAAGAAGCATGAATTAATACATAGACCGGATAACCCACATAAATGTGGCCAGTGTGGGTTCATAGCTCGCCATGTGCGGGCTCTTAAACATCATGTACAATCACACAATGATGAATCTGTTGTAGAACAATGTACTATGTGTTCAATGAAGTTCAACTCAGAACAAAAGTATAACAGTCATAGAAGAAGTCGGAAAAGGTTTGTGTCTTTATTTATTACTAGCTTCTGCCCCCTATTTATTGCTGACTTCGTACGCGCAATCCCGTTTTCTTCCGTTCCCGTAGGATTTTCAAGATGTTTTTTCTGTCATAAGAACCTTCTCCTGACAATAACAAACACAACAAAAAAAATCAGCCAAATCGGTCTAGCCGTTCTCAACTTGTAGCGTGACAACGGGAAACGGGTTTCATTTTTATAAATACTAGCTTTTACCCGCGGCTTCGCTCGCGTCACAAAAGGATAAAAAGCCTTAAACAAACATACAAACTTACTTTCCAATTTATAATATTAGTAAGGATGTCCGTGATGTCAATGATCAAATGGCACTACGTGATCGGCAAGGTTCCAACAGTTATCAGAAAAATATTGAAAAAATTCCAAGTCAGATAGATTTTATAATTACAATGACTTGTGTGTCATCCACGAAAAAGTACACCCTGTGCCAGTCTTTTGGCTCTTGTTGCTACAATTCTTTAGATTCTCGTCTGTATTTTTGCTTACGTTATCCTGCACAGAGCTTCAGCATTAAGGAATCCCAAATTCTGAACCACCTGTTTTAGTTTAGAAAAGAATATCAGTTTTTGATAAACCAAGTATTCTCAATAAAATTTTCCCTTTGCTTAAGTGACTGTACTGAAAAAATTTTTACTGCGATAGTAGTGGCAAATTTCAATAAAGTAAGCGAATTTAATAAGGATTCTAAAATGGTATATTAGTCCCTACCTACATTATTCTTAAGTTCGACACAAAAATAATTACTGCTCTCATCTTTGGGACGGCTCGGTCAAATATCAGTTGGACGCGTTAGAGCACATTGAGAGGCGTGCCACGAGGCACATCGACGATGATGCGCTTGTGAAGGCTCGGCTTCAAAGCCTCGAACACAGGCGTAAGGTTGCAAGCCTTTCGGTTTTCTACCGGATACATTTCGGTGAGTGTGCGGGGGAATTGCACAACTTGATTCCCCCTAGTCCTTTCCATCATCGTACCACAAGACAGTCGGCGAAGCGTCACCGATTCATGGTAGATGTTCCGCCCACACGCACGAAGCGCTTCGCTTCAAGCTTCCTTGTGCGTACTGCTAAAGAGTGGAATTCTTTGCCAGAGTCTGTATTTCCTGAAGGGTACAACCTGGGAGTTTTCAAGGCCCGAGTGAATAGGTTGCTTATGGGACGACGACGTGCTCCATCGTAGACCGCATCATCGTGCACCACCAGGCGAGATAGTGGTCAAACGTCAGTCCAATAAAACATTAAAAAAAAACTTCAACGAAACTCGAAAAAAATTTGTTTGTACTTACTAAAATTTATTGTTGTGTACCCAAAGCGCACGTAAACCCTTGTATCCACTAGGTGACACATCGCTGACGACATGCCACCATCATGTTGGAAATAAATACTATCTGACTTGGAATTTTATTAATAATATTTCTGATAACTGTTTGAACCTTGGCGATAAACTGGTGCCATTTGATTATCGACTTCAGGGACACCCTGTATAAATAAATAAAGTGCAAGTTGTTTTTTGAATGGTAGGTTTCATTTTTAAAAATATGTTTCAAACAAACGACCGACAAGGTCAAAAAAATACAACCAAAACAGCACAATATTTCCTACTCGTCGTTAATACGACGTGTAGTGATATGTACTCGAACGGGTTTTTAGCCAAAAATCGCGCGGTTATTGTTAATGAAACAATACACCGTCTGTCCGTTCGTCACTGTAGTACAGCCGTACAGCCGTGACTGACTGCACCCGACACCGAGCCGCGTAGGTATAGCTCGCGATTCGTCCGTTTGTATGAAGTTGCAATACTGTATGATATTGTTACCGTCCTTAGAGGCGTATAATTATATCGATAACTAGCTTTTACCCGCGGCTTCGCTCGCGTCACAAAAGGATAAAAAGTAGCCTGTGATATAATAATATACCAATACTCACAGCGCCATCTATACTAATACTTTTGTTTTCCCTTGGGAATATCAAATTCTTCCGGGATAAAAAGTACCCTATTATTTAATCCAGACTTCTAACTTTATGTCTGCAAAAATTCAAAGCAATCGATTCAGTAGTTACAGTGTGAAAGCGGAACAAACAAACAAACAAACTCACTTTCCGATTTATAATTTATTAGTAAGGATTAATATTTTTACAGATGTCCGGAATGCAAGAAAATGTTTTGTTCAAAAATTTACCAGGATCACCTTTCGAGTATACATGGTGTGCAGAAAACACCTAAAAAGCAAAATAATAGAAAGGCAGCCTTGTTTAAATGTGCTCTGTGCAGTTGGGAGGCGAATAGTAAGCCGAGGATCTTACTGCATTTGATACACCATCCTGATCAAATAGTTGATGAAAATATCGTAGATACACTCATTCTGAGAGAATTGGGTATTATGACGGAACAAAAAATTGGCGCCTGATTCTTTAAAACTGTGGCGTGAAACACAGGGCACGTGTCAAATGACAGCTCACGCACAAAGACTCGATCGATGAAAGCTATTCCACGGATGACGTCATAAAGTCCTACATCGCACATGCGAAGTTTACATGGAGACAGACAGACAAACAAGATTAAAAATGTTATGTTGGTATAGGTATCGGATGTATAAACATGTTTTTTTTTATGATAAGTCGGTAAACGAGCAGACGGATCGCCTAATGGTAAGCAATCGGCGTCGCCCATAGACACCTGTAACACCAGAGGCGTTACAAGTGCTTTACCGGCCTTTTGGGGATTAGGAGTCTGAGTACTATTAATTATTATTGAAATTGTGTCTCCTACCTCCTCACACGACGAAACACAACGCAAGTATTGTTTCACATTGGTTTTCGGCTCAGCCGTGGTATCACTCCGGTCGAGCCGGCCAGATGTCCATGGGCGACGTCAATGGGGATGATGACAGGGTATGAAAATTAAAAATATAATTAGTCCGTAACTTAGGTAATAAAAAAATATTAGACACGTATTTTTTTATTTTGTTGTATAATAAAACAATACTTAGATAAAACGAATCAAAGTTTAGGAGTGGGGGCTAAAACGTCATTTCTTAGTATAAAATGTACTGAGAAGTGACGTCACGCGACATTTCAAATCAATATATCTTCGAAACTATTCGTTTCCGTAAGAAAATAAAAAATACGTGTCTAATGTTTTTAAATAATCTACCAGACGGACATTAAAATAAAAATTAGTCGTCTACCC